AGACTGTGCTGTACTGGTAAGACTGTCCTGTACTGTTCAGTCTGTCCTGTACTGGTCAGACTCTCCTGTACTGGTGAAACTGTCGTGTACTGGTGAGACTCTCCTGTACTGGTGAGACTGTCCTGTACTGGTGGGACTCTCCTGTACTGGTGAGACTCTCCTGTACTGGTGAGACTGTCCTGTACTGGTGAGACTGTCCTGTACTGGTGAGACTGTCCTGTACTGGTGAGACTGTCCTGTTCTGATGAGACTGTCCTGTACTGGTCAGACTGTCCTGTACTGGTGAGACTCTCCTTTTCTGGTGAGACTCTCCTGTACTGGTGAGACTATCCTCTACTGGTGACACTGTCCTGTACTGGTGGGACTCTCCTGTACTGGTGGGACTGTCCTATACTAGTGAGACTGTCCTGTACTGGTGAGACTCTCCTGTACTGGTGAGACTGTCCTGTACTGGTGAGACTGTCCTGTACTGGTGAGACTCTCTTGTACTGATGAGACTCTCTGGTACTGGTGAGACTGTCATGTACTGGTAAGACTGTCCTGTAATGGTGAGACTGTCCTGTACTGGTGAGACTGTCCTGTACTGGTGAGACTGTCCTGTACTGGTGAGACTGTCCTGTACTGGTGAGACTGTCATGTACTGGTGAGACTGCCCTGTACTGGTCAAACTCTCCTGTACTGGTGAGACTGTCCTGTACTGGTGAGACTGTCCTGTACTGGTGAGACTGTCATGTACTGGTGAGACTGTCCTGTACTGGTGAGACTCTCCTGTACTGGTGAGACTGTCCTGTACTGGTAAGACTGTCCTGTACTGCTCAGTTTGGCCTGTATTGGTGAGACTCTCCTGTATTGGTGAGACTGTCCTGTACTGGTGAGACTGTCCTGTACTGGTAAGACTGTCATGTACTGGTGAGACTTCCCTGTACTGGTCAAACTCTCCTGTACTGGTGAGACTGTTCTGTACTGGTGAGACTGTCCTGTACTGGTGAGACTGTATTGTACTGGTGAGACTGTCCTGTACTGGTGAGACTGTCCTGTACTGGTGAAACTGTCCCGTACTTTTGAGACAGTCCTGTACTAGTGGGACTGTCCTGTACTGGTGAGACTCTCCTGTAGTGGTGATACTGTCCTGTACTATTGAAACTGTCCCGTACTTGTGAGACAGTCCTGTACTGGTGAGACTGTCCTGTACTGGTGAGACTGTCCTGTACTGGTGAGACTCTTCTGTACTGGTGAGACTGTCCTGTACTGGTGAGACTCTTCTGTACTGGTGAGACTGTCCTGTACTGGTGAGACTCTCCTGTACTGGTGAGACTCTTCTGTACTGGTGAGACTGTCCTGTACTAGAGAGACTCTTCTGTACTGGTGAGACTGTCCTGTACTGGTGAGACTCTTCTGTACTGGTGAGACTGTCCTGTACTGGTGAGACTCTCCTGTACTGGTGGGACTCTCCTGTACTGGTGAGACTGTCCTGTACAGGTGAGACACGAGAGAAGCAGGATTGTAGTGAGTGCTGGTGACAGAATGTGAACCGAAAGACAATGCTGTAATATACTTTGGAGAAAAAAAAGTAAGGGGAAGCATCCAGTGCATCAGACGTGAACAGAATCTGGCCAGAGATGACCACCCATTACTTGACCAACAGATCTTCATGCTGCTCCCCAGGACAGGACAAACCGAACTTAGCAAGCAAATGCACATAGTTCTCTATTGTGATCATGCGTGCTGTGTGTTGAAACTGCAGATGTCCTGCAAGAATATCCTTTGTACAGCAAACTTACCCACTGAGTCAACGCCATACTTCAAGTTGTATGGAAGTAAAAAAAAAAAAAAAGAACTTTTGAAAGCAGTCTTTTATATCATAAGAACTGGTCTGTTGGAGTAAATAAGAGAGAGATGACAAGAAAAAGTAGAGCTGATGTTTGCATTTTATTTTTAAACGTGGATATTTCCTGCCTGATACAGATTTATCCTAGGTGGATCTGGGCAGCCGATACACAAATCAGTCCAAATCAGTACTGTCTGCCGCCCCTCTTCCCCCCCCCCCCCATCCGCAGCTGGTGTGTATAAACATTAAATCAGCGATGTCTGTGTCTTGCAGTCGGCCGGACTCGTCCTTCATGTGGTTCATGAACCCATTCAAGTCGCTGAGATACATCCTCTGGCACAACTACAAGTGGGTCATCATCAAGGTCCTGGTGGTGGCATTCCTGGCCGCCCTACTGGTGCTCTTCTTCTACTCCATGCCTGGCTACACGGTCAAGAAACTCTTCAACGTTTGAGCTAGTTGCTACATCCTTGCACGTAATCATGTCTAGTCAGGGTGACAAGTACTACCTGTAATGGTCTGCAATTAATGTTCCATTTTCTCCAACTGTCGGAAGCAGGTGAAATATTTCTGCTCTTATACAACATATAAAACACATAAAGCACCATACTGAGGGGAAATTTCAATGTTAGCTAAAACATGTAGACAATACAAACAGACGGATAACTTTTAGAGATGCATCAACAAAGGTTTCGAGGTGTTCAGCCAGTACGAGAGGGGTAGAGTGTTGGACAACATTACAGCCAACCTTTATTGTGAAGACGGAGCCTGGCTCATTGACTGAAATTAGTCAAAATATTCGTCTGCAGTGTAGTTTCTGTTTTATTGCCGCTGTTATCTTCATGTATAAAGTTATAGATGTTATGTTTGGTCAGTCAGTTCTTTGTATTTTTTTTTTTCAACTTTCTGAGTGCAGCTGGCTGCTAATCTCTTAAAGAATAATATTTTTTAGGCGTTCAGATTTTCATTTAGAAATGTGACGCGTAAAATATTTGTATAGAGGTCATTAGTGCTGGAATATGTTTGATTTTACATTGGAGCTCGATAATGTGCATCTATAGTGTGTTGATTTGTTGTCGGAATTTGGACGTCTAGAGTGTGCAGTGGAAACTAGTGATATCTAAGCCTAGGTTTTATAAAATATATAAAAATTTTACATCTTTTATATGTGAATTTTTACATTTATTGCTATAATTGTGTGATTCTTACAACTAGTCGCTGGCAACGCATGTACCAGTTCGGAACTAACAAAACTTAACATATGACTGTATCATCTACAAAACAAAACTACTATTAAAATTTCATTCGCAAGAAGAGAAATACTGTTGCAGTGGAGACCTTCCCGTTTGCTATCCCAGGAGTTGAAAAGCTAAAAACTCGTACATGACTTTACAAATGGCTAAAGAAAAACAGCGCAGCTTTTAAAGTTGCAGAGACTATTAAAATAATCCACGAAAATGTGCAGAAAAGAAAATAATAATGACAGACCCTAGCATGGGTGAAACGTTGCTGATGTGTAAGCATAAAACACCTTTTGATATTCTCATTAAATTAATCTGTACCACAGATGTACAATTTATGTTATTGACAAGTATATGTGTACTATCCGGACGGTTGTAATTCGTTACATATGTGCCAATAAATGGCCCTTTTTTAGATATAGTTGAAAAAACACGTTGACAGACTATTCTATGTCGATCCTTTGTTACACGCAAAAACACATCATCATACAGCTAGTAGTTTATCCAGAGGGAATTATGTCATGTTTGTTTCTATGTGAAGTTTCTGGACGCGTTTGCTCCACAGTAGGCACTGTATTAAAACACATACACGCACACACACGTGTACACACATACACGCACACACACGTGTACACACACATACACACACACTTACACACACACACACACACACACACTCAAACATTGTCCACAAAAATAAACGCTACTGCATTTGTACTGGACAGCCAACATCAGCTAGTAATTTTTCGATCTTGAAAAAATAACGATTTGAACAATACAATCATGTTCATTACATTTGGTTTCCATTTTTATTCTCTGGAAAATGGAACCTCCAATTCTGTACTGTACATGGCCCTCTCCTGCATCTATTAGCTACATATCTTTGGCATTGAGCTGATTAGCCGTTGGATCTTTTGTTGTGGGATTGCTGCCCGCTAGTCTAGGAGTGCAAGAGAAAGCTTTTGGAGATTGGCTGGATCCATCTTTACCTGACAAACTTGTGTGTCGTGTTCGAGTGATCTGGATGTTGTCATCGAGAAACTGGGTCATGATTTGTGCCACATGTAGTCTAGCGTTGTGCTGCTGAAAAATTGACCCCCAGCAGCCACAAGTGGATGAACGCGAGGATGAAGAATTTTAGCGACGTATCGTCGGCTATCACCGTCTTCGTTTTGCACCAAGTCACTTCTTCATGTGAAGCTGATCGTTACCCACCTCCGCAAACCTCCGTTATCATGTAGAGGAGCCATATGGAGGCAGTTCTGGGTCTAGCGCACATGGACTCTACGTTAAACCCTGCTCCGTCTATCTTGACCCTTAGTTCAAGGAATGATTCCTCTCTGAACCAAACCCTTCTACGTGCATTCCCAGCGGTCAACTGGCGACGCTGGTTTTCCCACTGCAATCGTTTCCGGGGATGCCAGTTGGTAAGAACAGAACCTCTTGGAACCTAAAGACCAACGTCGGACAGTCGGTTCCTGACCGTTTCACCTGAAAAACGACGAGCTACTGGCATTGATAGACAGTGGGCGATGAAGTTGCAAAGCGATTCTGGAGGTAACGGGGCCCCACAAAGCAGTTATCCGCAGGTGTTGTGACTTTGTGTCTGCCACTGCACAACCTGTCGGTCACTGATTCAGTTTATTTGTATCGTGTCAGAGGCGACTAATGGTACTACCAACCACATGACATTGTCGGTCGGTCGGTCGGTCGGTCGGTCGGTCTGTATGTATGTACGTATGTACGTACGTACGTATGTACGTATGTATGTACTTATGTATGTACGTATGTACATGTGTACGTGTGTACATGTGTGTGTGATTATGTGTGCGTGCGTGCGTGTATGCGTGCGTGTGTGCGTGGTGTGTGTGTGCGCGTGTGCGCGTGCGTGCGTGCGTGCGTGTGTGCGTGCGTGCGTGTGTGCGTGTATGTGCGTGTGTGTGTGCGTGCGTGTGCGTGTGTGCATGTGAGTGTATGTGCGTGTGTGTGTGTGTGCATGTGTGTGTGTGTGCGTGCGTGTGTGTGTGCGTGTGTGTGTGTGGCTGGGGGATGTGTGGCTAGGGGGGAGGATGGGTGGCTATGGGGATGGATGGATAAATTGGTGGATGGATGGGTGGATGGGTGGATGGATGGATGGATGGACGGGTGGGTGGATGGATGGATGGGTGGATGGATATATATATATATATATATATATATATATATATATATATATATATATATATATATATATATATATATATATAGTGATCTCTCTAATGTGCGCGTATGTCTGTTTGTGTGTGTGTCTGCATTTGTTTCTATGGGTGTGTCTCTGTTTATATCTGTAAGTTTGTATGTGTGTGGAGTGTGCTTGTCTGTGTGGGTATGTAGCTATGTATGTGGGTGAATGGGGTGAGTTTATGTGTGTGTGTAAAGGTATATGGGTGTGTTTAAGCGAGTGGGTGTGTGTGTGTGTGTGTGTGTGTGTGTGTGTGTGTGTGCATGCATATTACCATCCATATTTTTGTGCTTTTTTGTTCTTATCTTTTTTGATATTCATAATATGCATATTATCATATAAATATAACATACTTATTGATAAAATACAGCTGCAGTGTGAAAGACGGGTGTTTGGAAGGGCCGAATGTAAGACGGGCCTGCGTGCCCAATTTGTGACCCTTTGAAAAAAAAGTTCGTTCTTTCGTTCTCTCTCTACTACTTATTGCAAGGCTAACAACTTTATTATTCAACAAGCAAACTACACATGTCTGAGAAACTATCAGGGTTGATGACGGATCCCTTGATAGAACACCGTTCTTCTGCGTTGTCTACGGCCACCTGAAGTTCTCTAGATATTGACGCTGTGTTTCTTCCGCGCCTGTAAACAGCGATGGTCTCAGTAAATGTAAAACATTTTACCAATAATTTGTGGCACAGTCGCGCCTATCCAATTTGTGTTTGCTTGAAAAGCACCAGAGACATTGCAGATGTATGTGGGAGATCAATTGAACATTGATAGATTCAGAACTGCGCGATGATTTTCCAAAGGTAATCTGATGGGAAAATGTATGCTAAGATCATCGAAAAAGTGCAATGTCTTTCTCAGATACCATAATGCACAGTCGTTGTTGTTTGCTGTCTTCTCTCTGGTAATTATCTCTTAAACTGTTTGGTTTCGGTGACATATCCTGTCATTCTCGCTCATTAGTTGACTGGATTTAATTATTTTGTTCAATTGCAACATCTTTTTGTTTCATTGAGTAATCATAAAAATGTAAATTAGTTATTTCTTTCTTTGTATTGACCACCATTTAACTTGATGAAAAATGCTGAAATATATATTCATCATTTCATCGGGAATCGGTAGCTTGTGAAGCAACCAGAACTGAAGGATCAGTTCAACATTGACAGACTAGCACTTACCTTGAATCAACCTGTCAGGGCCTAAATTCACTGTCTATACTGGCCAAGTAGTTTCAAGTCAAGTGACTTTATCTGTAACATCTACAAGCAACAATGTCACTCTACTACTAGTGTATGAAAACATCTACACGCAACAATGTCACTCTACTACTAGTGTATGAAAACATCTACACGCAACAATGTCTCTCTCCTATTAGTGTATTAAAACATCTACACGCAACAATGTCTCTCTACTACCAGTGTATGAAAACATCTACACGCAACAATGTCACTCTATTACTAGTGGATGAAAACATCTACACGCAACAATGTCACTCTACTACTAGTGTATGAAAACATCTACACGCAACAATGTGTCTCTACTACTAGTGTATGAAAACATCTACACGCAACAATGTCACTCTCCTACTAGTGTATGTAAACATCTACACTCAACAATGTCACTCTACTACTAGTGTATGAAAACATCTACACGCAACAATGTCAATCTACTACTAGTGGATGAAAACATCTACACGCAACAATGTCTCTCTACTACCAGTGTATGAAAACATCTACACGCAACAATGTCTCTCTACTACCAGTGTATGAAAACATCTACACGCAACAATGTCACTCTCCTACTAGTGTATGAAAACATCTTCACGCAACAATGTCACTCTCCTACTAGTGGATGAAAACATCTTCACGCAACAATGTCACTCTCCTACTAGTGGATGAAAACATCTACACGCACCAATGTCACTCTCCTAATAGTGTATGAAAACATCTACACGCAACAATGTAACTCTGCTACCAGTCCATGAAAACATCTACACGCAACAATGTCACTCTACTACTAGTGGATGAAAACATCTACAAGCAACAATGTCTCTCTACTAACAGTGTATGAAAACATCTACACGCAACAATGTCACTCTCCTACTAGTGGATAAAAACATCTACACGCAACAATGTAACTCTACTACTAGTGGATGAAAATATCTACACGCAACAATGTCACTCTCCTACTAGTGTATATAAACATCTACACGCAACAATGTCACTCTACTACTAGTGTATGAAAACATCTACACGCAACAATGTCAATCTACTACTAGTGGATGAAAACATCTACACGCAACAATGTCTCTCTACTACCAGTGTATGAAAACATCTACACGCAACAATGTCTCTCTACTACCAGTGTATGAAAACATCTACACGCAACAATGTCACTCTCCTACTAGTGTATAAAAACATCTTCACGCAACAATGTCACTCTCCTACTAGTGGATGAAAACATCTACACGCAACAATGTCACTCTCCTAATAGTGTATGAAAACATCTACACGCAACAATGTAACTCTACTACCAGTCCATGAAAACATCTACACGCAACAATGTCACTCTCCTACTAGTGGATGAAAACATCTACACGCAACAATGTCTCTCTACTACCAGTGTATGAAAACATCTACACGCAACAATGTCACTCTCCTACTAGTGTATAAAAACATCTTCACGCAACAATGTCACTCTCCTACTAGTGGATGAAAACATCTACACGCAACAATGTCACTCTCCTAATAGTGTATGAAAACATCTACACGCAACAATGTAACTCTACTACCAGTCCATGAAAACATCTACACGCAACAATGTCACTCTACTACTAGTGGATGAAAACATCTACACGCAACAATGTCTCTCTACTAACAGTGTATGAAAACATCTACACGCAACAATGTCACTCTCCTACTAGTGGATGAAAACATCTACACGCAACAATGTAACTCTACTACTAGTGGATGAAAACATCTACACGCAACAATGTCACTCTATTACTAGTGGATGAAAACATCTACACGCAACAATGTCTCTCTACTACCAGTGTATGAAAACATCTACACGCAACAATGTCACTCTCCTACTAGTGGATGATAACATCTACACGCAACAATGTCTCTCTTCTACCAGTGTATGAAAACATCTACACGCAACAATGTCACATTCCTACTAGTGGACGAAAACATCTACACGCAACAATGTCACTCTACTACTAGTGGATGAAAACATCTACACGCAACAATGTCTCTCTATTACTAGTGGATGAAAACATCTACACGCAACAATGTCACTCTCCTACTAGTGGATGAAAACATCTACACTCAACAATGTCACTCTACTACTAGTGGATGAAAGCATCTACACTCAACAATGTCACTTTACTACTAGTGGATGAAAACATCTACACTCAACAATGTCACTCTACTACTAGTGGATGAAAACATCTACACTCAACAATGTCACTCTACTACTAGTGGATGAAAACATCTACACTCAACAATGTCACTCTACTACTAGTGGATGAAAGCATCTACACTCAACAATGTCTCTCTACTACTAGTGGATGAAAACATCTACACTCAACAATGTCTCTCTACTACTAGTGGATGAAAGCATCTACACTCAACAATGTCACTCTACTACTAGTGTATGAAAACATCTACACGCAACAATGTCACTCTACTTCTAGTGTATGAAAACATCTACACGCAACAATGTCACTCTACTACTAGTGTATGAAAACATCTACACGCAACAATGTCACTCTTCTACTAGTGTATGAAAACATCTACACGCAACAATGTCACTCTACTACTAGTGGATGAAAGCATTGGCGGACATAGATCATGCCGACTAACTGACTGACTTTCTACCCCACCTGGATATCACACAAGCGATAAACACCCGATGACACAAAGTGCCACCATGTGGATGAGGATCGCCGTGGAGAGGTCCTAGATACCGCGTTCAGACAATTGGCCATATTGATGGCCTGTCTATATTGCGGTCCCTGGCAAAAGCCAGGGTGGGGCTTCAAATTACAAAAAATTTCGTCCTAAAAAGGACGAAACTTTATAATTGCATAGAATATATAATAGATCATGCGATAAAATCAGCAGAAATGAAGATATTAATCAACCAACCGGGTGCAGTTATCATCACTGTGGACGAACGACGACGGGTTTCGACTGTCAGTCTCCTTAAACTGAACACAGCAACAGAAATGTAACATTCAAGTAACGACGGACAGTAATTCTAAAGATGCATGTTTATGACTTGCGTTTGCCCAACGCTCTTCAACAACTACTGTGATATTAATTTGAACATGTTATTCACATTATGAAACATTTTGCACGCTAACGTTATTTTTTAATAATTTTTCTAATTAATATTCAATGTGAATATATATTTTTTTTGCGCTTGCTATAACTTGTTTGTTCAATATTTCAGTAAAACTTTGTTTACTGTTGCTGGTATGTTTTTTGTTTCAGTCTTTTACGGTTCCCCCCCCCCCCCCCCACTTTTATGTTGTAATGTATGTTGTCTGAATCATTGACTGATTGTACTGTTGTATGTGTGTTGTTGCGTGATTCAGTTGTCCGTTATTGCCTATGCTGTGAAAACTTGAATGGATCAAAAATAAAGAAGAAACAATCGTGTTCGGTCGCACAGGAAACAACACCAGTTAGAACAAAGAGGTAAATGCTTGGGCTGACATGGATAAATTATAGACCAGTTTTTTTTACCAAGGTGGGGGGGGGGGGGGGATCCTCTTGATGGTTTGGAAGGGGGGGGGGATAATTTGTTGTAATCTTCTTCTTCTTCTTCTTCTTCTTCTTCTTCTTCTTCTTCTTCTTCTTCTTCTTCTTCTTCTTCTTCTTCTTCTTCTTCTTCTTCTTCTTCTTCTTCTTTTTCTTCTTTTTCTTCCTCTTCTTATTCTCCTCCTTTTTTTCGCCTGCTGTGAACTCCAGTTGAAAATTATGGTTTTTCGTTCAATTCTCGGCTTAGTCTTGCCCCAGAACTTGAGTTTCACCTGCACATCCGTTATACAGGTCTAGCTGATTAACATGCAGACTGTTGGTTTCCTGCCACTCAGGCAGACGCACTTTGACTTTAGCCAGAGTAATTCTTCTGATTAACACTATTTTAAATGTTATTCTTAGTTGTTATTTCACTATTGCCTTCCCCATGTGCAGACAGAACATTCTGCAAGCAACAGTTACTAATTTTATGGATAAGTAACTTCATTTTATTGATTGTTGAACTGGAAAATATAAAAATATTTGAAATAATACGAAATGTGTAAACAGATAATTTAAAAAGAAATAGTTGCGGCTTTTGGTATTATTGCAAAATAAAATTTTCTGCCCCAGGGAGAGGAGGGAGTGGGAGGGAGCGGGGATGAAGAGAGTAGGAGGCTCAACTAAACCTAATAACAAATTATTGGGGTGTTGGGGGAAGTGTTAGGGGTAGTCTCATCCACTTTCATGCTGCAGTTTAGCGATATCGTTTCACATATGTTCCTTCACATCAGAGCACGTTCAATCATTGCACACCTTCGTGCATCTGTTGCATGCAAACATGTAACATAAGATTAATTAAACAAAAAATAAGCAAAAAGAGATAACATAAACAATGAACAAATGTATAGAATCTGACGATTTAAAACAGAAAAAAAAAAAATAGTTTACACAGCACTTTGTTTGAAAATTTAGCTCACTGATTTCCGTTATGTGAAACAGGCCACGATATATAGAGGTTGCTTTTTTTCCTTCCTGGTACAAGTTTTAAACACCCGCTCTGGCAATGCACATTTGTTTCTACATTTATTAACTTGTTTATTTTCCGGGAGCATGCAGTTTCAGGAATGTGCAATGCAACACTAATCATATATTTATAAAAGGCTACATGAAACCCTCCCTGGGATCGTCGACAAGCGCTCATTTACTAGATAC